GGAGAGGGTGAGCAGCTTCAAATACCTGGGCGTCCATATCAGTGAGGACCTCACTTGGACACTTAACACCACACAGCTGGTCAAGAAGGCCCAATGGTGGCTGTACTTCCTGAGGAGGCTGAGGAGGTTTGGCATGTCGCCTAGGATCCTTTGCAACTTCTGCAGCTGCATCATTGAGAGTATCTTGACCAGCTGCATCACTGTCTGGCATGGCAGCACTACTGCTATGGACCACAAGCGCCTGCAGAGAGTGGTAAAGACTGTGGAGGAGATCATCAGGACTCCACTGCTCCACTCTGCAGAGCATTTACCACTGTAGGGTGCGTAGGAAGGCTGCCTCCATCCTCAAAGACCCCACCCACCCCCAGCACAGACTGTTCACCTCCCTACCCTCTAGCTGGAGGTTCAGAAGTGTGAAATGCAGGACCACTAGACTGAAAAACTCTTTCTTTCCCTCTGCCATCAGACTCCTAAACAGCTGAGGCATTTATTACCAGGAAATACATCATGTACTGTCGACCTGTACTGTTTAGGAGGAATGACTACAGCAGTGTTTGGACTGACATGCGTTTACCTGAGTAACCATCTGTCAAGATGGCGCCGCTGTTCATCGCCTGCCGTCAGCCTCTCCGGCGTATGTTACTGTTTTCACTGTTTGTGCTGTTTCTGTCATCTGTCACTCGAAATGCATCAGCTCTACTAATGTACAATCGTGCCACCCTTCTTAATATTCGTTGGTCTATGGAAAAGTGTCCCAGGCTTCATCTGTGGTTGGCCTCGGCCCATAGGTCTGGATTTCTTGGCCCCTCATCCATATTGCCAACTTTCATGACATCCGAAAAGGGGTGTAAATTGGTCTAATCTCCAACCGCTGAGACATGTGTCTCAGCCATCAAACCCTGTTTTATCAGTGACTAAGAAGACATTCATTCTTAATGACTTTTTTATATCACGGAAACTGGATTTCATGTTGACTGAGACGTGGTTAAAGGAAAGTGAGCATTGCGCATTTTCAGAGCTTCTTCCACCTGGTTGTTCCTTCCTCAGCTCCCCTCGTATGACAGGTCGGGGCGGTGGCCTGGCATGTGTTTTTAAAACCAGCTTTCAATGTCGGCAGCTGACAGTGGACACTTATTCAAGTTTTGAACTACAGCTGTTTGTGATAGAACGTTCTCAACCGCTGCTGTGCGCAGTGGTTTATCATCCTCCTAAATTTAAATAAGGACTTTATTCAGGAGTTCTGTCATCTCCTGAGTTTTATCTTGTCAAAGTTTGAAAGGCTTTTAATCCTTGGTGATTGTAACATTCATGTATGTTGTCCGGCTGACCCTTTGTCTAAAGATTTTTTAAGTACTATTGACTCTTTTAACCTCACCCAGTTGGTGCATAGCCCTACACATGAGCTTGGACATACACTGGACCTTGTGATTTTTCATGGGCTGCCTGTTGTTATTACTGAAGTATGCGACTCTCGATTTTCCGATCTCTGTTATTTAATGTTAATGTGCCTCCACAGTCCGATAAACCCTCCATTCCTGCTAGTATCAGACACTCAATCACCTCTTCAACAGCAGGAGCGCTTTCTTTCAAAAATTCTGGTCTGTATCTGATTGGTGATGTGTCCTCCTGGACATGGATCCTGAGGAAGTATTAACTCTATTAACCTCCACCTGTCAGGATATATTGGATTCTATAGCTCCCCTCCGATGTAGACTGGCTAAGCCAAAGGTCCTTGGCTAAATGACTTAACTCGGGAACATAGACAAAGATGTCGTAAAGCTGAACGTAAATGGAAGAAAGACAAACTTTATGTTTCTCTTCGCCATTTCAGGGACTGCTTGTCGGACTATCAGAAGGTGGTTAAATCTGCCAAATCGAACTATCTCGCTAACATTGTGGTCAGTAATAGTAATTGAAGTAATCGTCACAAACCTCAGGTTTGTGACGATTACTTCAGTTACTTCTGTCATTAGCCCATGTAACCTTACCTCTTGTCCTGAGGCATCTGTTGAAATATGTGAGGAGCCAGCATTAGGCAATTCACACTATCACTTCTTCTGACTCAGTTGACTTTCCCCTGCCTTCTGCTATTTTTGACCAATTTGAGACCGTTTCTTTGCCTGTGTTACCAGAAGTGGTTTTACACATGAAAACATCTCACTGTTCACTTGATTTCCTGCCAGGGATGTTTTTGAGTCTATTGGTCCTAGCTTTCTGGCCCTAATTAATTTATGTTTGACTACAGGCTCAGTTCTGGATGCTTTTAAACAAACAATTGTCCTCTACAGACTTGACAACTTTTAAATCATTGGTTAAAACATATTTATTCACTTTGGATTTTAATACATAGTGCTGTCTAATGCTTCCTCATTTTATCTGTTGATTCTATGTACTTGGTGTTTTTATGTTCCTATGTTGTTTTATTTCTCTATTGATATTTTTTACTCTGGATTTGCATTGCCGTGTAAAGTCTGGCCGACCAGACGTTGTTTTTAAAGTGCTATACAAAAAAATTTTGATTGATTGATTGGTTTACATTCTCAGTTTGCACATGCATAATTGAAAGAATAAATCAAATCAAATCAAATAATTGCAGATTGACTGCTGACTGCTGCATATGCTGCTCCCATGCAGCATACATTCTCTTATTATATTCATATATATTTTTATAATATCTCTGCATTTGCTGCTTATAGTGCCTTAGATTTTGTGTTATTTATCTACTTTATATTTCATTTGTATTTTGTGGCATTCATGTGGACGGCAAAGTAAGAATTTCATTGTACAGGGAAACACGTTTCCTAACTGTGCATTATGACAAATAAACACTTTGACCTTGCCCAAATACTCACCTTGCATCAACAAAATCTATGCAGGGCTGCAAGGTTTCGCTTTCCTTGTGTGCCTTTCACTTTTTCACTTGCTTCCTTTTTCGCCACCAAGCCTGTTTCCCAGAAGCAGAGACGCTCTCCTCTCCATGCATTTATATGCCTCCATTACATGTCATTAACTGTGTGTCTCCTCTCTTTCTCATTCGGTACCTTTCTGCAGGTATCCCTGGCTCTGGGGCTTTATATTTCTTTACATTTGCTCAAAGGGGATTTGTTGGGTTTTCCTCTATAATAATAATAATCATACACTGTGTGCACAATTATTAGGCAAGTGAGTATTTTGACCATATCATCCTTTTATCCACAATTTCCAACTCCAAGCAGTATAACCTTGAACGCTTATTGGACTTAATGCATATCAGGTGATGTGTTTTAGTGTAACGAGGGAGGGTGTGGCCTAAGGAGATCAACACCCTATATCAAGGTGTGCATAATTATTAGGCAGAATGTTCTCCTCTGGAAAAATGGGCCAAAAAAGAGATTTAACTGACTCTGAAAAGTCAAAAATTGTAAAAAGTCTTTCACAGGGATGCAGCACTCTTGAAATATCTAAGATATTGGGGCGTGATCACAGAACCATCAAACATTTTATAGCAAATAGTCACCAGGGTCGCCAGAAACGTGTTGAGAAGAAAAGACGCAAATTAACCACCAGAGATTTGAGAAGAATCAAATATGAAGCTACCAGGAACCCATTATCCTCCAGTGCTGCCATATTCCACAACTGCAACC